GTGTCACACTGTACGGAACATCTTATCCTATCGTAGGTGTCACACTGTACAAAGCATCTTATCCTATCGTAAGTGTCACACTGTACGGAACATCTTATCCTATCGTAGGTGTCACACTGTACAAAGCATCTTATTCTTATCACGATTAGCTCAATAGTTGGTGGTGAGTACTGTTGACTAGCCTGTCTTCCATTCAGTCTATTGGAGTCGTGGGTATGTGCTAAAAGAGTGACAGTCAAATCTCATTATTTGGTAAGACACTATTAGCCCAATAGTTGGTGGTGGGTACTGTTGACTAGCCTGTCGTCCATCCAGTCTATTGGAGTCGTGGGTGTGTGCTAAAAGAGTGACAGTCAAATCTCATTATTCGGTAAGACACGATTAGCCCAAGCGTTGGTGGTGGGTACTGTTGGCTAGCCTGTCTTCCATCCAGTCTATTGGAGTCGTGGGTGTGTGCTAAAAGAGTGACAGTCAAATCTCATTATTCGGTAAGACACGATTAGCCCAAGCGTTGGTGGTGGGTACTGTTGACTAGCCTGTCTTCCATCCAGTCTATCATTTCAAAATTACGTACGGCTTTACGCAAAAAACCATCGCGTAGCTTTGCGCAGAAATTCTAGACAACGACGTATGGCAACACTACAAGCTTCTTCGTTATGTTTCCGTCGCTGCTACACAAGTTGTTTTCTGTAAATTTTAGTTAGTTTTTTTTATGGCTGATTTTCATAAGGGCGATCACAGTAATATTACCAACTTGCTTTACATTTATACGTTACCGTTAGGCGTAACACGCTGAATATAAAACTGTACTTATAACCAGAGGTTCACCTAATTGGTACACAGGTATGCAAGTGCGGCTAAAATAAATAATGAATGCGTACTTCAAAGATGCTAAAAAGGCGCAAGGGCGTATCATCACAACCGAAAGTTTTTCCTGGTTTTATTCTCCACTTCGTGTAGGTAACATATACTTTGATATTGATATCTGAAAATATAAAAAACTCAGTTATCAACTTACCGTGCTAGCTAGTTGGGTAAGCTAAATAAAAACCTAATAAATAATAACTATTTTAGATTTACTACTCATTTGTCTTGCTAGTTTAACTCTCTTTACACGGGCTTGGTCGAATCGACCGACCACGTGCCACTTTGTACTCGTTATAATTTTGATACTACTAACTTTTAATATAGTGTATATCTTCACAGAGTTTGGCAGAATTTCATTAAACATTACAAGTCTTTTACATACATAAAAATCATATTCTAGTGAAGTATTTTAATAAACTAAAAAAAGATTTTTCCGTGAACATATCTAGTATTTTTGGCCGCGGCATAGCGGCTTATAAAACGGCTCTGAGTTATTATTATTATTTTTTTTTTCAGTACAAACTTTTAGCTCATACCTCCGTCATCTCTTGACCGATTCGAGATCTAATTACAGTTTTGGACTCAGGAGGTCAAACCCTTTTGACTGATTTATTTGATTACGCCCAAGGTCTCATAGATTAATTTACTCTAATCCTGTCTGAAAGAAGTTCAATTTGACGGTAGGCTGGTAGAGATTCTGATGAGTAATAAAATTGAATCACTTATACGCGAGCTCAAAAATGTACCAAATGAAAAGGAAAAAAAAAAGGTTTTATACATTAATTTACTCTAATTCTGCCTAAAAGAATTTCAAGTGCAGCGGCTATTTATGATTCCGAGTGCAAATCGATTTGCATGTTAAGATTAAAAGTACTTTTCTTCATCTCAAAAATCTCAACCTTCATTTGAGTGATCTCTAAAACGTCCTAAATACATTTCAAACGTTTTTTTTCAGTAAAATTATGTATTTTATCTGTTATTTTCTCTTCCCTAATTCTATACAAAGTTGGTCAATTTGACCGACCTCGTAACCACCAAAGAAAAATCGAAAAAATCTAAATTATCATTTTTTCTTTCTACAATGACTTCAAATTGTAACGTGAAACTATATTTGTTGATACTAATTAGCTTTATACTGTTTTATTGCCCTTTGAACCATGTCTAACTACTATTTGCACCATTATAACTTGTAAATCATTGGAGAATGTGCGGCTCATGTTGCGCTATCGAATTACGTTGGAGGGGTGGTGAATAAATTAGAGAAGAGGGGATGACTAGAGAAAAAATGTCACATTTCTTACACTGGGGAATTTCAGGATTTTTTTAAATATTGCCTTATAAAACTTATAATACTTATGTGGAACTAGATAGAGAGTTGAATGAAGATAACTAATTTCCGTGAGTACCAACCATTTTTACTGGTACTAATTTGGGAATCTGATACGAAAAAGTATGTGAACTCCTGTTTATAACACATAGTCTATGTTTTCTGTATCGTCAGACAATAGTAAAACTAGAAAAAAAATCGGCAGTTCAAATATTAACTAATATGTAACGAAATGTACTTAACATTTGTTCACCTGAACGACACAATGTGTATGAAATTGGCAAAACGGCCAGGTTGAAGATCCTTATGGACCAGAAGCAGGGAACCAGTTGGCAGTAGCCGCCACCTGAAGTAACTAATCTTGACCGAATTTCAGGAGTAAATGTAACTTATATGTTGCAAACACAGCTGAAAATGCAGAGCATGTTTGGTGGCGACGCGTCTCGAACCTTGAACCCTAGACCACGGATCCCCAGTTCGATACGCTCGGGCCAACACAGAAGTAGGAGGGATCGTGTCAGTAAGAACTCTGGTTATCAGGTTTCTTACTTTTTTTGATGCCATACGTTTTCCAAGTATAATTAAAGCTCTCTAATAAGACCTGTCAAATACACGGAAAACTGGAAACTTCCAGAAGGGATTAAGTGGCACAAAAGCCATGACAAGATTGCACAAAATGTCGTCAAGATCTAGGCCTTGTGAGGAATTAACTCTTATGAAGTTTCATCGAGGTTTGCTAGATATTATTCAAGTTCAAGACAGATACACATGTGTTACACAGAAAAGCAGAGAAACAAACGCCTGAAGCACAGGCTACGTTTTGTTCTTTCGGGAGGGGTTATTAACAATACGTGTTTTAATATTAGAGTTAGAGCTACATATTGATTCGTGATTTAACACAATGAACCGAAGGTAGTCAACAATATATGCTATAGCACTGGACCTGGAACTATTCAACAGTGCACATTATGAAATAGTGGACTAGGAATAATCAACAATACCTGCTCTAACACAGTGGATTACAGATAATCAATAATAACTGCTCTAACACAGTGAACTGGAACTAATGAATAATACCTAGTCTAACATAGTGAAGTGGAGAAAATTAACAATACCTGCTCTAACACAGTGGATTACAGATAATCAATAATAACTGCTCTAACACAGTGGATTACAGATAATCAATAATAACTGCTCTAACACAGTGGACTGGAACTAATGAATAATACCTAGTCTAACATAGTGAAGTGGAGAAAATCAACAATACCTGTTCTAACACAGTGGATTACAGATAATCAATAATAACTGCTCTAACACAGTAGACTGGAACTAATGAACAATTCCAACTCTAACTCTGTGGACTGGAACTAATGAACAATACCAACTCTAACACTGTGGACTGGAAATAATGAACAATAACAACTCTAACACAGTGGACTGGAAATAATGAACAATATCATCTATAACACAGTGGACTGGAAATAATGAACAATACCAACTCTAACACAGTGGACTGGAAATAATGAACAATACCAACTCTTAACACTGTGGACTGGAAATAATGAACAATACCATCTATAACACAGTGGACTGGAAATAATGAACATTACCAACCCTAACACAGTGGACTGGAAATAATGAACAATAGCTACTATAAAAGATAACCAATACGAGTTATAGCAAAATGGACTAGATGTAATAAACAATATTTGATTGAACACTGTGGACTGGAGGTAATATACAAGACATACTGTAAAGGGTAACAAGCAATACATGTTGTAGCACAATGGACTGGAGGTAATATAGCCATATATAGCTTGACACAGTGAACTGAAGCTAATATAGCCATATATATGGCTTGACACAGTGGACTGGAGGTAATATACAAGACATACTGTAAAGGGTAACAAGCAATACATGTTGTAGCACAATGGACTGGTGGTAATATAGCCATATATAGCTTGACACAGTGAACTGAAGCTAATATAGCCATATATAGCTTGACACAGTGAACTGAAGCTAATATAGCCATATATAGCTTGACACAGTGGACTGGAGCTAATCTAGCCATATATATGGCTTGGTACAGTTGACTGGAGGTAATTTAGCCATATATATGGCTTGGTACAGTGGACTGGAGGTAATATAGCCATATATGGCTTGACACAGTGGACTGGAGGTAATATAGCCATATATATGGCTTGGTACAGTGGACTGGAGGTAATATAGCCATATATGGCTTGACACAGTGGACTGGGGATAATTTAGCCATATATATGGCTTGACACAGTGGACTGGAGGTAACATAGCCATATATGGCTTGACACTGTGGACTGGGGATAATTTAGCCATATATATATGGCTTGACACAGTGGATTGGGGTAATTTAGCCATACATATCGCTTGACACAGTGGACTGGAGGAGATGTAGCCATATATGGCTTGACACAGTGGTAAGTTTGTAGGCTTATAACGCTAAAATTCGGATTTCGACACCCGTGGTGGGCCGAGTCCAAATAACCCATTTTTGTAGCTTCGTGCTTAACAACAAACAAACAAACTGAACATAAATATTTTGCCATGACAACTCGATTATTTGAATCACGACTTATTTACTCATTTCACCACTCATATTATCATATATATATATACATTGTGAAAGTTTAGCTAGCACTAAGATAATACAATGTATAAAAATGTTGTCTAAACTCCCCTAGCACTAAGATAATACAACATTTTCATCTTTATTTTGTCTAAGTTCTAATGTAATTTTCTACCAACTAAACTTGTATTCTCGTTTCTTTAGACAGGAGATTCATCGTCGCCAACGCTCAGGTGGAGAACAAACCAATTATCTTCTGTAATGATGGCTTCACCGAACTTCTGGGCTACACACGCGGAGAAATCGTGCAGCGCTCGTGCATGTGTGAGTTCCTGCACGGACCGCACACCAGCCCTAATGCCGTGGCTAAAATAGCTGAGGCCTTAGAGGACAGCGAAGAACGACAGGTCGAAATTGTGTACTACAAAAAGGATGGTAATAAAATGTTGTTAATTCTAAGAAAAAAAGTCTATAAATTTTTACATGTGACACGTCTAGTATATTACGAGAAAACAGACGACAGCAAATAACGTTTAGTATTTCCTGCTCAAAGATGTATTTGGAAGTGTTACAATATGTTAGTGTAGAACTTAGGTTACATTGGAAGTGTTACAATATGTTAGTGTAGAACTTAGGTTACATTGGAAGTGTTACAATATATTAGTGTAGAACTTAGGTTTACATTGGAAGTGTTACAATATGTTAGTGTAGAATTTAGGTTTACATTGGAAGTGTTACAATATGTTAGTGTAGAATTTAGGTTTACATTGGAAGTGTTACAATATGTTAGTGTAGAACTTAGGTTACATTGGAAGTGTTACAATATGTTAGTGTAGAATTTAGGTTTACATTGGAAGTGTTACAATATGTTAGTGTAGAACTTTGGTTACATTGGCAGTGTTACAATATGTTAGTGTGGAAAATAGGTTACATTGGAAGTGTTACAATATGTTAGTGTAGAACTTAGGTTACATTGGAAGTGTTACAATATATTAGTGTAGAACTTAGGTTACATTGGAAGTGTTACAATATGTTAGTGCAGAACTTAGGTTACATTGGAAGTGTTACAATATGTTAGTGCAGAACTTAGGTTACATTGGAAGTGTTACAATATATTAGTGTAGAATTTAGGTTACATTGGAAGTGTTACAATACATTAGTGTAGAACTTAGGTTACATTGGAAGTGTTACAATATGTTAGTGCAGAACTTAGGTTACATTGAAAGTGTTACAGTATGTTAGTGCAGAACTTAGGTTACATTGGCAGTGTTACAATATGTTAGTGTGGAAAATAGGTTACATTGGAAGTGTTACAATATTTTAGTGTGGAAAGTAGGTTACACTGGAAGTGTTATGATATGTTAGTGTAGAACTTTGGTTTACATTGGAAATGTTACAATATGTTAGTGTAGAACTTAGGTTAGATTGGAAGTGTTACATTATGTTAGTGTAGAACTTAGGTTACATTGGAAGTGTTACAATATGTTAGTGTAGAACTTAGGTTACATTGGAAGTGTTACAATATGTTAGTGTAGAACTTAGGTTACATTGGATGTGTTACTTCGCTTAATTTATTAGTGTAGAACTTAGGTTACATTGGAAGTGTTACAATATGTTAGTGTAGAACTTATGTTACATTGGAAGTGTTACAACATGTTAGTGTAGAACTTAGGTTACATTGGAAGTGTTACAACATGTTAGTGTAGAACTTAGGTTACATTGGAAGTGTTATAATATGTTAGTGTAGAACTTAGGTTACATTGCAAGTGTTACAATATGTTAGTGTAGAACTTAGGTTACATTGGAAGTGTTACAACATGTTAGTGTAGAACTTAGGTTACATTGGAAGTGTTACAATATGTTAGTGTAGAACTTAGGTTACATTGGAAGTGTTACAACATGTTAGTGTAGAACTTAGGTTACATTGGAAGTGTTACAATATGTTAGTGTAGAACTTAGGTTACATTGGAAGTGTTACAACATGTTAGTATAGAACTCAGGTTACATTGGAAGTGTTACAATATGTTAGTGTAGAACTCAGGTTACATTGGAAGTGTTACAATATGTTAGTGTAGAACTTAGGTTTACATTGGCAGTGTTACAATATGTTAGTGTAGAACTTAGGTTTACATTGGCAGTGTTACAATATGTTAGTGTAGAACTTAGGTTTACATTGGAAGTGTTACAATTTATTAGTGTGGAACTTAGATTACATTGGAAGTGTTACAATTTATTAGTGTGGAACTTAGATTACATTGGAAGTGTTACAATATGTTAGTGTAGAACTTAGGTTTACATTGGAAGTGTTAAAATATGTTAGTGTGGAACTTAGGTTTACATTGGCAGTGTTACAATATGTTAGTGTAGAACTTAGGTTACATTGGAAGTGTTACTTCGCTTAATTTATTAGTGTAGAACTTAGGTTACATTGGAAGTGTTACAATATATTAGTGTAGAACTTAGGTTACATTGGAAGTGTTACAATATATTAGTGTAGAACTTATGTTATATTGGAAGTGTTACAATATGTTAGTGTAGAAGTTAGGTTTACATTGGAAGTGTTACAATATATTAGTGTAGAACTTATGTTATATTGGAAGTGTTACAATATGTTAGTGTGGAATTGAGGTTACAAACGTTTTTTTCAGAGTGAGAATAGATTAGTTGTTATGTAACACTTCTAAACGATTTTTCAACATAACTAAAGATTGAAAACTTACGTAATAATGGCTCAAAGCTACTTGTTTCAAATGGTAGTTTGGTTTTTATGGCCTATTTAACAAAACTTTTAATAATTACGTTAGTTTTTGATCACTCAGTGCTAAAATGCATTGAGTGATAAACAGTTTCTTAATATATCTTAATCCATAACATGAGTTTTTACTACAAAACTTTGATATACATTTCCAAAAGTCTTAACTCGTGATATTTATGTGTCATTTTCCCTTTGTTTATAGCCAACTAAACTGCGAATGACCTTTTCCGGTGTAACGCGTGCGTGATAGAAAGCGGCGGCATACAAGTCTAACTTTTATTTTTAACCATTATTCTGTATTAATTATTACTTAATACATAAATTATACATCAATCGCGTATTAAGTATTTTACTTTGTTATTGCAATATAATTTAAAAAAACGTGTATTTTTTTTTCCAAAATCATCCACTGATGAAGGATTTGATACATTTTTTTCGCATGCTGATGGAGGAAGTGGGAGAACAGAAGATGAAGAGTGTTGTTTGTTTTTAGAGCAAAGCCACATTGGGCTATCCGTTGTGTCCAACGCAGGGAATCGAACCCCAGAATTTAGCGTCGTAAGTGCGTAAACTTACCGCTGACCCGCCTGGGGATGCGCTAAAAGAGTAACTTAACCAAAACAACGTGATTATAAGACTCGCAAACTTAATTAAACTTTACATTATCGTCAAATTTCGTGATTTGTTTTGTAAGTCACTGAGATACTTGAAAAGCAATATTAGAATTGTCAGGAAGTTCGATGAAAGACTTTCTGACGAAATTTATGAAGCCTTAATGATGAGTCTCAAAGGAGACTTTTCACATAAAAGATCTGAATATGTTAGTTTACAACACCGGTAAAAGATCTGAATATGTTAGTTTACAACACCGGTAAAAGATCTGAATATGTTAGTTTACAACACCGGTAAAAGATCTGAATATGTTAGTTTACAACACCAGTAAAAGATCTGAATATGTTAGTTTGCAACACCAGTAAAAGATCTGAATATGTTAGTTTACAACACCGGTAAAAGATCTGAATATGTTAGTTTACAACACCGGTAAAAGATCTGAGTTTGTTAGTTTACAACACCGGTGAAATATCTGAATATGTTAGTTTACAACACCAGTAAAATATCTGAATATGCTAGTTTACAACACCAGTAAAAGATGTGTAGTTGTAAACTAACATAACCAGTAAAAGATCTGAGTTTGTTAGTTTACAACACCGGTAAAAGATCTGAATATGTTAGTTTACAACACCGGTAAAAGATCTGAATATGTTAGTTTACAACACCGGTAAAAGATCTGAATATGTTAGTTTACAACACCAGTAAAAGGTCTGAGTTTGCTAGTTTACAACACCAGTAAAAGATCTGTATATGTTAGTTTACAACACCGGTAAAAGATCTGAATATGTTAGTTTACAACACCGGTAAAAGATCTGAATATGTTAGTTTACAACACCAGTAAAAGATCTGAATATTAGGAAACATTAACACTCATATACTAAAGGTGTAGAGAACGTAAAATCAAAATCTGAAAGGAATAATGTTGCCCAGGTTTCAGTTGTGATAGTTTTCTATATTGACGCACTGTTACTTCCAATACAAGTTTGTTGTTTATGATTGATATTAAATGTAAGAAGTAGCAACAATGTCTTCACCGCATGTCATCGCTGAACTCTTAATGATAAAGAATTGAAGTGCTGATTTTCTCGTGCGAATTACTCTTTTCACCCATTACCCCCCCCCCCATCTCACTTTTGAAATCATGTCAATTGTACAGACTACTGTTTTATTTTAAAAACATGAACTGTCATTTCCCCGAAAGGGGTGC